TCCCAGGGAAGCCTTCTCTGATACTGGTGAGTTCCTTCAATTCAGTGCCCTCTAGGCAATTTGGACCTTGCCTTTATAGCAGCGACTGAGATTGGGATTAAACAGGTATCTACGTATTCTTGAGTTCAGTCCCTGCCCCACCACTAGTCTGTGACCTCCGCAATGGAAGGGTCTCTATTTGTCCTGCTCACACTCTGTCCCTGAGCCTAGCACATTAGCTGGCACATGGCAGATACTGAGTATCAGCTCAACAAACCAGGGAAAAATGGCAGTCAGAGCTCACCAGTAGGATGATGGCCTGTGATGGTCTCCAGAGTGGAGAAGAGCAAGCCGCATGGTAGGGCTGGATCTGGCAGCAAACCTTCTGGTAAAGTGTAGAAAAGGGCATGAGCCTGGTTCAGAGTGGTGGCCAGCAACTCCACTAATGAGCAGATCTGAGTCTTGACACCAGCACCTACAGGAAGAAATCAACCTCTTTTAGACAAAGTCTACCTTGCAAAGGAAGGCCTTGCTCTTCATTACTTTCAGTAACATTAAAAGCAGAATGCTTGGGATGCTTCAGTCTCTCAGCTCACCCCTCTCCATCCCATGTTTAAGGACCAAAGTGTAGAGGGAGGTCACACCCACCATGGTGCGGCTGGTTGATAAGTTTCTGAATGGTTGCCTTTCTGGCCAACAGAAAGTCTGTGAGGGCTTGGCGAGGAGAACTCTCTTCCAAAAGCATTATAGAGCACAGGGCCTCGGCCACCGCTTGGTCAGACACTGATTGGCACTTGAGCAGCACCTTGCTTTCGTGCAGAATAGTTGACCTAGAATAATGATATCTAAGGTCAATAGGGAAATTTAGCATCTTGGATGAAGAGCCTTGATGTGTCAGGAAAGAAGAAAGACTGTAACAGTATGTGATGCCACCTGACCATCCCAGAGATCTTCACGCAGAATCCACTTACCGGAAGTGGCTGGCGGCTGCCACCTGCCGGATGAGTATAGGAAATCGGGAGAGGACAGGACTGTATCGAGAATTAGAGGAATCCAGCTGAAGCAGGCTGTGAAGGTGGCAGCAGAGCAGGTAGAGCTGGGTGGCCTGGAGATACTGAGCAGCTTCCATAGAGCTCCAGATCTTCTCAGGAATTTCTAACAGTAGCTTGATCTGGGCAGCCATGCTGTAGAACTTCTCTTGGGATGGCTGCTGTGGCTGAAGGGGAAGGCACAGAACTACATCAAAAGAGCAAACAGAAACAGTATTCTACAGACTTGGAGAGAAATCTGGGGGCATGGAAGTCCCATGTAGTAGTTACTGTGGTTAGGAGTGCTGTAAGCGCTCTCAGTTTTCCTATATGCACGCATGCTTCTGCTCCATCCATGGTGAGGAGAAGGTTCATCTTGCCATTGGGTTACCAGTGATTCTCGGGATGTGTCTGACACAGAGCCCTGTGGACTGCACCCCATGTGAGCTGTCTCCTTCCTCTTCTGATTTCCAGCCCTCCTACCTTTTCTCCTGTTTCTCTGAAGGTACCATGGACTTCCTTGCTAATTGTTCCTCATCACCAACCCTGCACCAGATCTTCCTCCATTTACTCCCCAGATCTCTACCTGTCTGTCTGTCCTTTTATTTCAGGATTCTCTTCCCTCAGACTTCCCCTCAGAAAAGAGTTAGTTCCTGGGAACCAGCAGTTAGCGTAATGGCTATGTCGCTGGACTCCCACATAGTCGACCGCAGTTCGCGTCCTGGACCCAGTGGCTTAAAACTCACGCCGGATGCATGTGCGTGTGTGCCCAGGATCTCGAGAGGAGAATGGAGGAGAAGGGATTGCGGCGTGACCATCCCCTCTGGGGGTTGATTTCTCACTTTCTGTCTCTATGTCTCTCTCTGTCTGTCTGTCTGTCTGGCGAGCGCACACGCCCTATAGCAAAAACCTCTCCAAAAAAAAAAAAGAATGAAAAGAGTTAGTTCCTTATAAAAGGGTTGAAGGGGACTATTAGGTAGTTGGAAATGTTTTTCTATCCAAAAATGCATCATGACTTTCCCAATGACAGAATAGCTTAGGCTCTTTGATACTCTTCCTCCTCCTACTCCATGAGGGATACACACGTATGTCCATTGATGCACATCAAATGCCAGCACCTCGATCTTGGGTTTTCCAGACTCCAGAACTGTGAGAAAATAAATTTCTATTCTTTATTCTATTCCTTGAGCTTATTCAATCTCAGGTATCTTGTAACAGCAACACAAACCAACTAAGACACTCATATCCGAATCTCATCTGTCCTTAGGGCTCATCCTTAATAAAAAGGACCCAAGCCTAAAGTGACTTCCTTTAGAACTCTATGATAAATGTACACAGTTATCTTAAAATGTCTTATCTACCATTGCAAACTATTTACATTTTTCTTGTTAACTCTTCATAGATTTATTTCCTTAAATAGTTTGTAAACTCTTTTAAGAACAGAAACCTGGGAACTTCTGTTTCTTTGTGATTTGAAGAGAGAAGGCACTCAAGGTTTTGTGGGTTTCACTGGGAACAAATCACATATAACAATTATGGAAATCAATACATTTCTAAAATCAGGCATTAATACGGGTTAGCTTTTTTGTAAATCTGGAAGTATGACTAAGATACAGCAAAGGCTGCACTACATGTACAGCTAAGAGGGGGTGGGTCAAATCATTTCAAACATAGTGAAGAATTTCCAACCTTGTATAGTTGCACTGTTCAACTCATGAAAAAGTTGCAAACTAGAGCAAGACCTCATTTTGCAATTTCTTCTTTCATGTTGCATAAGTTATCCCCCCAGGCTTCTAAGAAACTCCCTATGGAGCTTTCCCCCTCAGTGCTCTTTTGCTTTGGTCCTCCCATGCCAACAATCTCTAGGAACACAAAATGCTGTTCCAGGAGGAGGATGTGGTTACCGCCCCATCTTTCTACATCGGTTTAATCTCCAGTGTTTGGGGGATAACATAGGATAACCTAAATAGGAAGTGCCTTAGTGTCCTAAAATGAAGAGGTTTACCTATCAAAAGGTGGACTCCAACACCTCCCAAAGGGTGGAAAAGAGATTTGACATTGTGGAAGTTACTCTTGGGGGCCGGCAGGAGAACGGTTAGGATGAGGATGAATGACTTTCAGGGACAGTGTTAACATAAGGCGGCAATCTCTGTGTGTGTGTTTAATTAGCTACAGAGTGCATGCAATGGCCAGAGAATAGGAAAGACAGAGAGAGAGTGGGAGAAAGTGAAAAACTACCCCCAGAAGAACCCCCCAGGGGTGATGGCCATGCTACAATCCCTTCTCCTCCAGTCTCCTCGCGGGATTTTGCATGCTCACACGTGAGCCTGGCCTGTTTCTCAGGCGCCCGGAGTGGGCAGACTCCAACCCCACAGTCAGCTATGCAGGATCCAGTCACCTTAACCAGGACACCACCGGCTGGCCTGGGAGCAGTCTCTTCTAAGAAAAAGTTTCAGGACTTGTTATATTGGGAAGAGAGCCTAGAGAGAGACCCCTGGCGTTTTCAGCTAAAATCGAAGGACGCACCTAGGGAACCCAAGTGTGAGGAGGAGTCACGGTCCCGAGGCCGCGAAGGCTCCAGAACTGCTGAGTGACTTTTCAAGGGGTCGGCAGCTGGTACCTAGAGGAGCCCAGAGCTGAGGAGCAAGTTACTCCTAAGGCAGGTGAGGATTCCCAAGGTTCGACACTCACTTGGGGGTGGGGGACGTAGGTCCATGAGTGACCTGCGAGTTTTTGAGTTTGGGGCCTGGGGGCTGACCGGAGGGGCCTGTGAGGGTCTACAGCTGACTTGCGGGTGTGTGTGTGTGTGTGGGGGGGGGTCCAGGCTTGATCTAAGGGTTGGAGGGTTGAGGGACCAGGACCTGACCTGTTGGGTCGGAGGGTTGGGGGGCCAGCGCCTGACCTGCTGGGTCAGAAGGCTGGGGAGCCGGGCACTGGCCTGCAGGGTCGGAGGTTCGGGGTGTTGGGGCCTGACCTGTCGGGTCGGAAGGCTGGGGAGCTAGGCACTGACCTGCCGGGTCAGAGGGTTGGGGAGCTAGGCACTAGCCTGCGGGGTCGGAAAGCTGGGGGACCGGGCACTGACCTGCGGGGTCGGAGGGTTGGGGAGCCGGGCACTGACCTGCGGGGTTGGAGGGTTGGGTGCCCGGGCACTGACCTGCGGGGTCGGAGGGTTGGGGAACCGGACACTGACCTGTGGGGCCCGCGGCGGCCGAGGCGCAGCCGAGCCGGCCCGGCGGGGGGGGGGGC